CCTGTTGCCGAAGCTTCTCGGATTCCTCAAAGATCAATGAGGCGTCGATATCGGGGCCTTCCTCGACACCAGCAAAATGTGCTTCAAACATACTGTTCTCTCCAGGGGATGCCCCCTCGACGGGAATGTTCATATCTTGGGCATCCCGTATCTGCCCAGGAAAAAATGATGGGCCCGGTAGAGGCTCATCTACATTAATCCCCTCGAATGATTCAACGAAGGCCCTCTCCCTCTCCTAGAGGCTTCATCATTGGTTCCTTCGGGTTCATCAGCCAAGTGCCCCTCGGTACAAAATGCGTTTGGGTCATTGGTCGGCTCGGGGACTTCGCCCGAATTCCCCTCAACAATCCCCTCATCTCGGGTAGGGACCACCTTGGCAGCCTCCGACTCAATCACCTTCGGCTCAGTAGATTTCGAGGCAGCTGCATTTCTTTTCCCCCTAAATACCAGCGAACAATCGTCACCCTCTTCGCCCTCGGCATAAAGACTTTCGGCCGCCTCCCAAGTTGAGGCCACTGAATCGGCCTCGGGATTTTGAATTTTAGCCTTTTCGGCTTCGAAGACTCAGCTGGTGATTTCTTCTTTCTCTTTTTCTCCTTAGCAGGATTTGGGGCATCTGCTTCCCCAGACGGGGGTTCCCTCATCAAGACGGCCTCTCCAAGGCCTCCATAGACACAAAGGATGAAAATATCAGCAAAAAATATCTTCTCTAAAGAGCTCGCAAATAAACAGAGATAAAAACTCACCATGATTTTTAGCTTCCCAACGGGTCTTAGCCAGATCGCGCCACACGTGCTCGGCGTATGGGCAGATCGAATCCAGTCGTCGGACCCAGCCCGGGAGATCGTTAACCGCACCGGGGTACCACTCGACAGTTGTATCATCGAAGAAAGTTAATTCAAAGTCAGGAAAATGTATCCGATCAAAGGAACGCGTTTACTTACGATTCATATTCCATTTCTCAGGAAATGGCATTCTCTCAACAGGGGTCAGGTCCGAGGTCCTGACTCGGACAAACAGGCTCATCCACCCTCGATCCTTGTCTTCATCGATGCTAGCAAAAAAGGTCTTCGGGGATCGACGTTTCAGCTTAATCAGGCCACCTAGATAAAGTCGGGGGCTATATAGTCTAATTAGATGGTTGAGGGTAAAAGGCATCCCTTCAACCATACTTGAGAAATACCTAATCATATAAATAATGCGCCAGAACGATGGATAAATTTGTCCAAGTGTCACCTGATATTGACAGTAGAAATCGAGGATCACTGGATCAATCGATGATGAAGAGGCTTCTACCGGGCCTAAGGTGAAAGGATATGTGTATACACTAAGGAAACCGGCTTTGTACGTGGTTATGTCTTCTCCTCATGAAGGAATCTCTACCACCACCGCTTTCCCCCAGCGGCAGTCAGCCTTCACTTTCTTGACTTCAGTAATTAAACCGATATACCGGGACATAGGTTTGCACCGTCCGGGACAGAGGAGGGGTTTTCGACCTGGAAGTCAGAAGATGTATCACAAGGCCCGGGGGTACACTCCTCGATACTAGGAGGGACTACCGTTTTACCTTTGGTCGTTCGAGAAGATGATGAAGCTTTTTCCTTTTGAGGAACAGTTTTAGAAGTTTTAGACATCAGTAAAGCGGAAAATCCAAAAAGATGGAATATATTGTTGGAAAAGAGAAGGGAGAATTCAAGGAAATTGAAAAGGGCCGAATGAAATTTTGGAAGCACTAAGAGAATGATATCCACAAGGTTATGGGATTTGTCTATTTATAAAGATCGTTTGAATGTGCTAAGGAAGCCAAAAGGCCGACCATCGGCCGCTTATGTCATGATGATTGACGTCAGGACCCAGACATCGGGAACCGGATTGTCGGAGATTGTTAAAGAACAGTCTACGAGTCAAGATCGAACAAGCGATCGTTCGATTATTTGAGCCCGAGGGCTACCCGAGTTCGAGCCAGTTCTCCCTCGGGGACTATTCATAAAGCCTCAGGGCTATCTTTATCTCAAGTTCGAGCAGACGCTCGCTCAACTATTGAGCCCAAGGGCTACCCGAGTTCGAGCCAGTTCTCACTCGGGGACTATTAATAAAGCCCCAGGGCTATATTTATCTCAAGGTCGAACAGACGATCGTTCGATTATTTAAGCCCAAGGGCTACCTGAGTTCGAGCCGGTTCTCACCCGGGGACTATTCATAAAACCTCAGGGCTATCTTTATCTCAAGTTCGAGCAGACGCTCGCTCGACTATTAAGCCCAAGGGCTACCCGAGCTCGAGCCAGTTCTCACTCGGGGATTATTCATAAAACCTCGGGGCTATCTCTACTTCGAGTTCGAACAAACGCTTGATCGATTATTAAGCACAAGGGCTACCTGAGTTCGAGCCAGTTCTCACTCGGGGACTACTAACAAAGCCTCGGGGCTATCTTTATCTCAAGTTCAATTTAAACGCTCTCTCGATTATTTTAGCCCAAGGGCCACCCGAGTTCGGGTGCGCCCTCGCTCGGGGACTATCTATAACGCCTTAGGGCTATCTTCACTTTAGAGTTCAAGCAAACTCTCGCTCGCGGACTATTTGTAAAGGCCTAAGGGCTATCTTTATTTTCAGATGATCAAGCAAACTCTCCCTCGAGGACTACCAACGAGGCCTAAAAGGGTTAAGCTTTATTTTAGGGAAAATCGAGACCCAACTCTCACTCAATTCGGACTCAAGAGTCCCGGCGACCTAAGTTTGTATCAGATCAATCCAGACTTAGTCCAAAGGATGACAAAGAGTTTTCGAGGAATATCATATTAACCGATCGAGAACCGAAGGGATTACTATGTCCGGATCCAATATTCGGACCGATCGAGAAAGTCATACGCTTGGGTTTTTCACAAACGCAGGTAGAATGGAATTCAGCACAAGTCGAAGGCAAATTAAAGAAACTTTTTTATTAGTAAACGACGATTACAAAAAGCACACGAGGGGTCCTTACACAGAAACAAAGAAGCAAAGAACAACGGCTAAAAAGCCTAATCTACTTTCGAGGGTATATTTTCGGGAGCGACATCTGCAAGAATTGTTTCCTCGGGGACCCCATTTCGATCTTTAGAACGATATCTTCAAGAATCTCCCCCGAAGCAGCTATAGCCTATCAAAGAGCAAAAGCTTTTAACACGCGCGGGAAATTGTGGCTTGGTGAAAAATTTGGCGAGTATGGGTCTCGTCAGCACTACTATTGTGAAGCCACTTCTTGAGACGTTGCACCGGTGTGGGATGCAAAAGTTAGTAGATGCCACCCCACTCCATGGAAAGCAAAAGGAATGAAGCGCCACACCAGGTTGAAGTTAAGAGAGATGAGCAGCGGTTTACGGTCCACATATCTTCCGATACGGGAAGAATTTGAGGCCCTTCCCTTATTATTTCGAGCCAACAACAACAACAACTCAGTATAATCCCACTCAGAGGTATAGCTTTGAAAAAGAGCCATGGCATAACTGACAAAGGTGTTGCCGTATGACCTTATGGTCACGATTTTGAACCATAAAAATGGGAGTTTGGAGGAAGATGTAGAGAAGGAAAAGAGCCAAAGGCTGTTGAAGAAAGATTGAGTGAATTCTTGGCTCAAGCAACCCCCCATTTATAGAGGGACAGTAGCGTGACCAACGACGCAATCAATGCCTATTGGGGAAACGAATCAACGACGCAATCAATGCTTTTGGGAAAACGGATCGACGACGCAATGAACACCTTGTGGAAAAATGAACTGACGGTATAATCAATGCTTCTAGGGAGACGAACCGATGGGATGTTTTCAATCACTTGGAACGCTTACGTCACGAGCATGACGTCATCACAAGAGGTTCGAGAAAGTCGAGGTCAAGATCGTTTCTTATCTTTTCATTCTAAGAAACGCGGGAACTATCTGTATACGGCCAAAATTGGGGAGTTCGACTTTGGGGCTACTATGCAGCTCCACGCCTAACCTCGAAGAAGCCCGAAGAAGGGCATGAGGTGCAACACCGAGGTGCATCCCTCGAGGGAGCACATCGAAGGCTCATTATGGTCGATCTCGGAGCAGTACGATCGATGATCATCATGAAAGGGCGGAAGGCTCCTGAAGACACGTGATGAGGACTGACAAAGCTTGCAAGGGACAGCACAAATCCCTATTAAGCCGCTATACAGCTGTACTAGTAGCTTTTCTTCGTCATTTATTAGACATATACTATGTTGGGGTTCACCCCTCCTATATAAAGGGGACTCTGGTCATTTTGTAGGGGGATACGCATTATTGCACAACACATTAAATACAATACAGCATTCTCTACTCTCTTTGCTAACACTATTGTTCTTCACATTTATTGCTTATTCTTTCATTATTCATTATTGTTCTTCATTTATTGCTCATCATTAGCCGCAAAAGGCCATCTGTGAGGCCCTCATTATCATTGATCTTCATCGATCGTTCGTAGCTAATAGCCCAACTAGACCTCGAGGCCCTGCTCCAGCTAGCTCAGGCCCAGCCTAGCGACCATTTTTGGTTTACATTCCTTGTTTTCTTTACTCATACTTAGCATCCATTGCCTAACAACTAGTATTAAGATAAATCACGTATTTTTAGAACCACAAATCAAATATTATTGTAGTTACCATTTTCAAGGTAAACAAATATATTTTTATTGGCTAGTACCTGTGACTATTTTTGGTTGAGCGGTCAAATGTGTTAAAAACTGTGATTCATTTGCACGTTACAAAATCCTTGTATTCGAGTTAAACAAAGACAGCGGCTGATGCAGTTGCCGATGATGCACAAAAAATTGATCGTAGTAACATACTCTCAAACAATAATACTGTATTCGAAATTCAATATCGGTCTTACGTTCTGTGCTTACTCTATAATATTTACCTAATATTTCATGGTTGTAATACTGCTAAACAAAAATATAAAAAAATACTTCTACTAAAAGCAATATAAAGCAAGTACCTCAAGTCTTCCACAAATAACCAAAAAGACAGTTTAATACCACATTCATCTATAATTATCTCAACCAAATCCCTGAAAATGGTATAAAGTAAGAATTATGTGATTAATTATTGGTAACCAGCGGATAACAAATGGTTAAAGAAACTTACTTATCATGAATAAACACTGTAATAATTATTTGAATTACATATTTTATACTATCCAATAGAAATAATTTTTGGGGCCTTGATTTTTTGGGGCCTAAAGCAAGAGCTTTATTGGCCTACGGGTGGAGCCGTCCTTGCTGAGGTGCAGCAAAAATTAGTATCAGACCAACAGCAACAGCGAAAAAATGATATTAGCCATTCTCTGCTCTGTCATAAGCATTGGACTTGTGCTTTGGTGCAAACGAAAAGCCAGCAGGAACCTTGCCTAGTAACATTTCGGATATCCTTATCTGCCGAGGGAATATTAGCACGTTAAATTGAAAGAATAATATGTGTTTTACACACCTAACAATTTGCTATCTACGAATGGTAAATTACGTACCCAGTCTGCAGCAGAATCAGAGGCCATTAGTGTCTCAAGGTCATCCCTACCGTAGTATGAGGGTGGTCGCCAATTTATTCTTTGTGGGATAATTTCTAACAGGCCAACTGGAACATACCGACATGTGTAACTAAGCCACTCCAACAAAAAGTGCCTGGTCGTCTCCACTCCTGTGCTCATTTAGGGCAAACATCAGGTATGGCCAATCATAACATTAATTCTCTTCAAGATCTTTCCAGTAGAAGAATGTCGCAAAGAAAGCAAATCGCCGGCAAATGCAAATAAAATCTAGAGAGAGAAACCCCATTTTTTCAAGACACATATGGAAAGCTTCTATTAACATACTCGTAGATCCTGCCAATTACGCCTTTACAGAGATTCAAGAAAACCTCGGTGAATGAACAACCATAGAATGTACAGGATACATAAGTCATTGCTAGTGTAAAATGGATAACAAAGAAAATAAGAAGACATCATTGTTCACATATACAATGGTCTAATCTGATGAGGAACTTCCCTAATATATTGACAAGTCAACCTGACAGAAGCATACTATATTCACAAGGATATAGGCAGTGAACAGTATCGATTGCATCTATTCTGCTATGAAAGGCCAGATATAGAGCACAGTTTAGAAGCCTGCACATGCGTGCAACTCTTTGCACGGACGTAGTTATTCCCAACTATGTTGCGCGGACTCTCCAAAATGTTGCCGCACCCGTGTCGGATTCTCCAAAAATACACTACTTGTATCCGACACGCACCCGGCGACATTTTCGGAGAGTCTGAGCAACATAGATTCCCAAGCTATCTCAATTTCTTATATATCTGATGAAAGAACCAAACATGATCATGAGATGTAAAGGTTAAGGCACTCAGTTTCATGAAGAGTAAACATGGATGCAAATATAATATAACATGATAGATCATCTTTAAGGCATGCTTCCAATAGGTTGCAGCAATTAATACCTTGGTAGATTTACCAGACAAACTTCATACTGATCCATAATATTTACGAAGATAACTATATACCTTTTGAATCAGAACCCCAGTGTTCAAGGCCAAATCGTGCATAATCCTTCAAGATATCTAGCCGCTCCCCAGATGTAATGTCCCAGTGCCTCTGTTCCTTGATTTCGGTAAATATCCACGGCTGCAAAATTAGGAAGTGCTGCTTAGTGCAGATAGACCCTCGGAGGCACAAATAGAATGAACAGGCAACCGTAACAAGTTTTACACAACGGAAATAGAGAGGAGAAAAGATCTTACTACAAACCTTTATCAATGCACCTCGGGCGATCATACATGTGGAAAGCTCAGGGGAGTCAGTTTTGTGCTTGTTCCAGTCTAAATAAGAAAATACATCACCGTTTCCAAGGACTTGTAAAGACTTGGGGGCCCTTTGTACACATTGGTAGATGTAATCCCAGTCAGCAAGTTTACTATATCGCTGTTGACGTGATCTACCATGTATGGTAACTGCAGTTGCACCCCAATTACCAATATCTGCTATGAGAGAATCAATGCGATTCTTCCCCTCAAAATAAGCAGTTCTTACCTAAAGCAGGAAAAAGTTGCATTGTCAAGCATCTCTGCACATCTCTTTAAGAACCATGGGCACGTGGGAACCAGATCTTTGAACAAGACAAACACAGAAAAGCAATAGTCTACACTAGGGTGGGAACTGGGAATTGTATCATAATGCCAAATACCTACGCCGCGAAAGGTTGGTCTCCAATAATACAAAACAAAAGGCAAAGCAGATCATCCTACCTTGATAGTTACTGGTATATCAACTGTTGCCGAAGCAGCTTTTACTACACTCTTCATCCGCATTGGTTTTGTAAGAAGAGCTGATCCAGCACCCTTGTTAACTACAATATCAATCGGGCATCCCATGTTAATATCAATGAAATCCACAGAGCATTCTTGTTCTATAAGCTCAACTGTCTTTGTAACAGTGTCTGGATAAGCTCCACAAATCTGAACACCAAACAAATTCTCGGACGAATGCCGTCTCAGCAGTGCCCACTCAGATGCTTGGCCCTACATTAGCCATAAGGTGCGAATTAATTGGTACTTAAGTTCAAGAATGTTACCCAAGTGAATGAAAAGTCTTTTTAGATGGAAAACGGTAAGACAAGGATGAGAGGCAAAGATTATTAATTCTCAAAGAAGCCAAAAGTTACATGTCCATAAACTGAACAAGTTATGTACCCCTGTACAAAATCATTCCAGGTGGTTCTCTTAACTTAATGGTTCCCTAACCATTAAACAATCACCACCACAAAAGCTTTTCACCAGTCTCACTCTCATTCTGATTCTATTTTGAGGCATTCATGAATAGATTTAATGATAATTTATGTTAATCCCATCCACAACTAGCAGTGACTCACCTGCAAAAGATTTGTGCACATTGCCATCTCACCAGATGTTACATCAGCTCCTAGCACCTTGCAAACTCTCCGAAAAGGCAGATTCCCAACTGTGGTCAAAGGCGCAAGATAGAGCTTATCTCGAAAATCAATAAGCTTTTTTTCACGGGGGTGCAATTTTAGGCTTTTATCAGAATCGGTAACCATGCCAGCAGTTGGGTCTGATTTATTCACGTCACAATTGCTGTCAAGAACTTCCCCCTGGACACTTGAACCTGTCAAAGTACAGAATATCAGCTACACGAGGTTTCACCTCTCCATAAAACAACCTGAATGCTCATAAAGGAATAAAGCATCTATTAACCATTGCTAGCTTGGGAGGAACAAATTTCATCGATTGATGATTTTGCCTTCTTTAAAGGTCTAATATCATCAGCCATATTATTTTCAACTACATCATCTTCTGGTGAAATGGAAGGAGTGATCTCCACTTTATTAGAGCAGTCACTAGCAGCTTCATTGCTGTCTGTTTTGGTATCAGTGGCTGGCTCTTTTGGCACAACTTCGCCATTTTCCTCTTTATCAACCAATATTTTATCTTTTGGATGGCCCTGCAATAAGAAATTCAAATGAACATGAGAAATAATCCAGAGACAGAAAAACATAACAGGTATGATACTGCTTCCTAATGGTCAAACATCTTGTACATTAAGCTAAAATTTGAAGCATGTCTAATAAAGAATCACCTTTTCCCCCTAACACTGGTATTGAAGAATGGAAGAAAAAAAAGTGGGAGGCACAAACCTCAAGTCCAAGAAGTTTGAGAGTAGCTTCAGCCTTCGGAAACTTCATTTTGTTTTTCCACAGAAGTTTCTGAGTGTCCTTATTAAAAAAATTTAGTTCAGAACTCTTCCTAGATATCTTCTCAGTTTGAGCTGAAACATCATCTTCGTGGGTCCCTGCAAACCTACAAGCCAATCCATAAGGGCATGGCCCTTCATAAACCAGAAAAGGGCAACTACCCTCTATATCAGCTGGTTTCTGCATTCAAAACAACAGCAAAGATTGTAATTTTACGGGATCACATAACAGCATCATAATTATAACTATGATATTATTTCTTAATTTACCTCAGCTTTAAAAGCTTCCAAGTCATGACTAAACCGACATTTGTCACTATAAGGGCACGCACTAACTTTTCCAGTTTTGGCCACCTCGGGACAGATATGCAATGGTGATTTTTGTTCCTGCAATCATTTCAATCATTACATTTACTATACAATAACCACACCAACCACAATCCCTTTTTTCTATTTCTTATGAGTGATTATACCAACCAAAATCTTAAAACACAATCACATCAGTAAATATTTACTCGACCAGTGTTTACAGCAAGCCAAACAACTTAACCTAGCAGTTAAAAATTAAATTAAAGATATATATCATTTAATCATGGTTAAGTGATAACTGTCGGTATGAAAGAATACTTACCGCACCCAGTGTTTCACCAAACCAAGCAATTAACCCTTAGCTGTTAAAAATGAAGTAAAAATACATATCATTGAACCGTGGTTTGATAAATGTGTGTATGAAGGGTACATGTCCTATATTCACCAGATGCCGGTAATATTTTGACCATCACACAAATATCAGTTATAAAATTATGTTCAGCTAAAATGGAACTTTTGAAGAGAAAATTTCAACTCAACACTCTATACTTATCCTCTATATGCATTCCATTCTATTTAGGATACTTCATTCCAATAAAGACAAATAATGTGTCCTTTAAATTCGCCAAAAATAAGCTTTTTTTAAATAATGAGAATCACCTGACGGCGTTCACGTTTAATTTGGCGTTTGGATTTCTTCTCCTTAAGAATAGGAGCGCTTTTGACCTCAGCTGCATCGTCGTTTTCGACTCCAACGGCGCCGTTGTTGTTGTTGTTGTTTGAAGGTCTAGAAGGTGGAGGGCGAATATACTCTCTCTTCACAGGAGCTATGGCTTTAGCTACTAACTCCTCTGGAGTTCTAAATGGTTGATTTACTTCACCGTAATCGATGTTCGATGAAGACTGTTGTACTGGAGCCTCCGGCTGCTCCGTCGCAGTCGCCGCCGGCGACGAGTCCGTAAGGGTTTCGTTTTCCATGGAGTGTGGAGGTTGTGGTTAGGGTTTAGGTGAACCAGTGGAGATTATAGACGAGGGTTTAGCTGCAGAACAACGACGTCGTATGGAACATTCGGATGTACTTTTCCTCCCTAACCGTTATTTGGGTTTTTTTTAACGTTTCCAAGGTGCGATAATAAAAAAATGGAAAAGGGCCAAAACTACCCCTATCGTTTGCTAAATGATTTATAAATATCCTCCGTCAATCTATCCGTCCAAAAAAATACACGACGTTATTTCTATTAACAAAATTACCCCTCGATTTAACAGCAACAGATGTGAGCCCCACTTTTAATGACGTGTCAACGTATTACTAGGCCACGTGGCAATCACTGACTGAAACAACAATGGATATTATTTCGACCCACTTAGCTGACCCGACCCAATAGCTTCCCCATTTTTCGGATCTTCTTCTTCTTCATTTCGCCCAAACTCTCTCCCCCCCATTCATCTTCTCTCTTAAACCAAAAAATTTCCCTAAATTCCAAAACTTTCCAAATTCTAGAACTTTTCACTCATTTCCGGTTTGCAGTCTCCCTCCCACTCCCAAAACCCCAAGAAGCAAAACTTAATAGAGAAATAAACTAATTTTTGACAAAATTCTACTTATTTGAATTGGAAAAACTGTAGATTTGATAGAATGGGGAAGCCAGAAGCTTTGGGGAATTCTTCTATGACCGTCAAATCCAGCCTATTTTTTTTTTTGTTTTTACCGCAACCTGTTATGCCTTTTTTTTTAATGCCAGAAAAAGAAACAAAAAAAAAAACTTCCAAGGCAAACGATTTGGCTGAGGCTTCGAAAGTCGCCGGAAATTTAAAGGCAAAGGGAAGTCATATTTCAACGAGAAAACGTTTTTTTTCAAACTTGTCCATGTAAATGAATACATTGGGGTGGTCCAGATTTGTGGTGGTTATGGAGGAAAATAGGAGTGGTGACAATGGTGAAGGAAGAAGATGCTAACTATTTTCCTTTTTCTTTTTTAAGTTAAAAAATAATTAGAGCAGGTCAAATAATTGGGGCGGATATATTCTGCCCATAATTTTTGTTTGACCCAATAAGCCACATGGCCCAGTAATACGTTGACACGTCGTTAAAAGTGGGGCTCACATCTGTTGCCGTTAAATCGAGGGGTAATTTTGTTAATAGAAATAACGTCGTGTATTTTTTTGGACGGATAGATGGACGGAGGGTATTTATAAACCATTTATCAAGCGATAGGGGCAGTTTTGGCCCTTTTCCGTAAAAAAAAATAAGTTATGGATACAACTAAAAACTTAATCGTATATGCTGTTTTTTATATCAAATTAAAAAATGTAATATTTGTAGTTAAAAATTAAAAGGAGAATACATTTTACTTAATTATAATTAAGTGATAAGTATATGTATGAAAGCTAAATATTTTAAAATTCATATAAATTTTAGTGAATACAAGTAATGTTTTACTTGGATACAACCTCTCAATACTAAAAGATTTGTTGAATATTGGCCACATAAATGTGAGGATGGAAGAGAGGCTGCAAATCTATTACAATAGTGTTGGTTCCCCAAGTATAAGCAGTTAGTAAACTGTATTTGTAAAATAATTCTAGAGAAAATAAAATAACATATAAACAGAAATATAAACGAAATAGAAGTTAATCCGAGCCCACTAAATTCATAGTGTTTCCTTAAGAAATTTAACTCCCTCCTAGTAACCAAGGTTGTGGATTATTTCCTCCCATGATATAACGAATTATACACTGGTGTGGTGGTACTACAACCACCGGTGTTTCAGCGAACACAAAGTTCGGTAGTGAATCACACTTAGTGTTGCTTTCTTTGAAGTTAAAACAATGCAGAAGAAAGGAGGAGAACACAGAAAATCGTATGAAAAATCTGAGAGAATGGACTGGTATTTATAGCCAATGTTGAGCTAAAAACTGACGAGGTGCAACTCTTCAGAATGACTGTTTATGTAAAACGGCTATAACATAAATGCCATAACATAAATGGCTATTTACGCAACAATAAACCGGGAATTGAAGAGGGAGGTTAATTTTCCGTTACAAAATCGGAAAACTGAAAACGGATAACGGAAATAATGTTTAATATTTTCGTTGGATTTAATATTAAAATATTTCGTTGGATTTCTGTTAATATTTGCTATTAAAAAATAAATTTGGTCCAAAAAATTAATCAATCAATCGATCATTTGACCAAATCCAAATCCAAATCCAAATCCGAAGCCGAAGCCGAAGCCGAAGCAGAGTCGAGCAACGACGACGACGCGAGGCTTGCTTTCTTCTTAACTCTTTAAGAGCTACAAAAAGAGCAATTGTATATATACCCATCAAAAACCTTTTCCTCTTCCAATATGGGACAATGTCCCATTGTCAAGGGGGAAAACTTAAAATTTCACTTAAAAGTTTCATTTTCCCTTCATTTCCCATTCACCCTCTTTTAAGCCTAATTAGCTTAAAACCTCAACAATCCCCTACATGAATGGGGAATGGCTATATCACGAAAATATGCATGAAAAATTGTGTAATTCGCAAGCAAGGATTAATTGCATCTGGATAAGTAGGTTTCCCTTTGAACTTACCGTAGTGAACTTATGTCGGATATACTCGGTCAATCGGTAGATTTGATATCTTTGAACCGTCGAACTTTGGTGTACACCTAGACAATCATAATTCACACAACCAAGCCTTAACCGTCTTTGGTTCTCATTGTTGTGTTCGTTTCAGCCATGAACACCGCCTGGTTTCATAAGTGTGTAGAGAACTGGCCTTACAAAATTTTCCTTGAAGCGGCTAGCACTTCACACTTGCATAGGTGATTCCTAAACGTGTCATCCTATAGATACACTATTTTATATACCCGGTATCAAATTTAGAAATCATTAAAAAGCCTTAATGCTTTATCCTTGTTACTTAACATTGTCTCATCACGAAAATGAACCAAAATTTTAATTGACAATGTTGAACCGTCATTAATGATTTTGTTTGATCTCCTTGAACCTAGATCTCCGGATCTCCAGTCTTCTAGGTAGAGTTACCGCCACAATGACTTGTTCTCGGCCATAGTCTCATTCCCCTCGATGATTTCTCAACTACCTCTCTAGTTAGGCCTTTTGTAAGTGGATCTGACACATTATCGCTTGACTTTACATAGTCAATCGTGATAATAACTCTAGAGAGTAATTGCCTAAACGGTTTTATGTCTTTGTCGTATGACGAGATTTACCGTTATACATAACACTCCAGCCCTTCCAATTGCCGCTTGACTGTCGCAATGTATGCATATTGGTGCCAACGATTTGGGCCAAAATGGAATTTCTTCCAAGAAATTCCGGAGCCATTCAGCTTCTTCACTTGCTTTATCTAAGGATATGAATTCAGCCTCCATTGTAGAGCGGGAAATACAAATTTACTTGGACGACTTCCAAGATACCTCTCCTCCACCAATAGTGAATACATATCCACTTGTGGACTTAGAATTAGTTGAACCGGTGATCAAATTTGCATCACAGTATCCCTCAATCACCGAAGGATATTTACTGTAGGGCAAAGCAAAGTCCTGGGTATGTTTTAAATATCCCAAAACTCGTTTCATTGTCATCCAATGAGATTGACTTGGATTGCTCGTGTATCGACTCAATTTTCTTATAGCACAAGCTATATCTGGCCGTGTACAATTCATGATATACATTAAGCATCCCAACACACAAGCATAATCCAATTGTGATATGCTTTGGCCTTTGTTCTTTGTTAATGTAAGATTCACGTCAATTGGAGTCTTTGCAACTTTAAACACTAAGTGCTTGAATTTTTCAAGTACTGTCTTAATATAATGAGATTGTGACAGTGCCAGACCTTGAGGAGTCTTATGGATCTTAATCCCCAAAATTAAATCAGCAACTCCCAAGTCCTTCATATCAAACTTTCCAGTTAGCATACGCTTAGTCGCATTTATGTTGGCAATGTCATTTCTCATTATCAGCATATCATCCACATATAAGCAAACAATGACTATGTGATTTGGAACTTTTTAGTGTACACACATTTATCACATTCATTTATCTTAAAACCATTTGACAACATTGTTTGGTCAAATTCCGCATGCTATTGTTTAGTTGCTTATTTTAGTCCGTAAAGGGACTTAACAAGTCTACATACCTTCTTTTCTTTACCCGAAACCACAAACCCTTCGGGTTGTTCCATGTAGATTTCTTCCTCCAAATCTCCATTCAAGAAAGCCGTGTTAACGTCCACTTGATGAATTTCAAGACCATACACTGCAACTAATGCTACTAACATCCGCATGGACGTAATTCTTGTAACTGAAGAGTATGTATCAAAGTAGTAAAGACCTTCTCGTTGTCCATACCCTTTGACCACAAGTCTTGCCTTAAATTTATCAATAGTGTCATTATCTTTCATTTTCCTCTTAAAAAACCATTTAGAACCCAAAGGTTTATTTCCAGGAGGAAGATCAACAAATTTCCAAGTACGGTTGTCCAATATGGATTCTATTTCACTATTGAATGCCTCTTTCCAAAACAATGATTCCGAAGAAGACATAGCCTCTTTGAATGTTCGAGGCTCATTTTCCAATAAGAAAGTCACAAAATCCGGTCCAAATGAAGTAGACGTTCTTTGACGTTTACTACGTCTTGGATCCTCCTGATTAAATGTACTTTCTTTTGTCTTCCCGAGGTCGTTTAGATCCTTCACCAATCGACTCACATTCCTTTTTATACGGATATATATTTTCAAAGAACTTAGCATTATCTGATTCTATAACCGTATTATTATGAATGTCGGAATTTTCTGATTTATGAACCAGAAATTGATATGCTTTACTATTGCTCGCATATCCTATGAAAACGCAATCAATGGTTTTCGGTCCTATTTTTACCCTTTTGGGTTTAGGAACTTGCACTTTTGCCAAACACTCCCACGCTTTAAAATAATTCAAGTTAGGCTTCCTTCCTTTCCATTTTTCATATGGAATGGATTGTGTTTTGCTATGGGGTACTCGATTTAGTATCCGGTTA